TATTAAATCGATTATATTTATTATCTTCGCTATATTAATTATCCGGGGTATATCTAATTTCTTCGTTATATCCAATACGTATTTCGCCGGCAACTCCTTTTAGGGTAACGTGAGTTGGCGCAGCGATTATTAGGTCACGTTTTTCCGACCTTACAATATCATTACCGTTAAGATTGGAATTTGTGGGCTCGTGATGTAAAATGTGGGGCCTTTGCAGTAGAAAGGGTACATGCTGGTAATATATATTTTTTGTTGGTTAGTATATTGGGTAATCTCGTGATATACGAGTCTTCTAAAAAATTCTGCAAAGGCCCCATATGAATTTTACGCTTTGTTTGATTATAGCAACTCAATAAAAAAACGAACCCGTATTTTATATTTAGTTGTTGAGTGAAATACCTGAAAACTTTTAATTATTTTTTTTTAATACCAATGGAGGTTTCAAAATTAAAATCGAGAAACTTATTTTATTTTTTCCGATTTATAATTCAACATAATAAATGATATTTAAAAAATCCTGCTTGTTTTCTAAATGCGCCATTTATCTGTTAATTTTGAAATCATCAATCATATTGTATATTTAACATGTATTATAAAACTCAAGCTTATTTTAATAAATAAATATATTTATTTTAAAAAATAAATTTAATACATTTTGTATACTCATAACGATATCTTAATAAGAATAACTTCCAATATAATCTAATAATTTCATCAGTTTCATATCACAAAACTTAAGATGAAGTGTTTCTTACTACATTTAATCATTCGCTAAAACCTGAAATGGAATATTAAAAGTTAAATTTTCATCGTTCTACAGAAAAAAATTAATTTTATGCAAACTTATCTAAAAGAACCAGAAAAAGCCGGAGCCCGGCTCTTTCTTGAATTTTTCTATCAATTCTCGCTTTTCAAACTCCTTAGTTTCTATGATTTCCCTTTTCTCCATTTCTTTCAATTCAATCAATTCTTTTGCAAGGGCTAACTTCTCCGCTTCTAATTTTGACTCATATCTAACGAAAACATTCAACTATCTCTAAATGTCCAACTTCCTTCTGTCAATAGTAGGTTCTGGTCTAGCCCATTTGAATTCTAAAGAATTAAAACCACACCTCTTTTTTTATTTCCAAGAAAATTTCTTTTTCAGGTTGCTCCTCGGCAACTTTGGCATATCTCTTGAAGAAAGAATTATTAACGGATACCCAATTATCTGTTGTATCTGTTGATCTTAGGAATTGGGTAATTTCTTTTTGCTTATTAAAAAGGAAATTAAAAAAGGGCAATTTTCCTTTTCTTTCTTGTTTTCAAAGTATTCAACAAGAACTATATAATAAATAAAGAATTTCAAAGTTAATAAATAAGTGGCGCATTTTGAAACTAAATGAAAGTTTGAAAAAATTTATTTGTTTTTCAAGATTTTTAATTCGGAAAATGAAATAGGAGTGTTTGGAAAAAATTAAATAAATAAAAATAAAACTTCTGTTCAAACTGAAGATAAGATCAACTTACAATTGTATCCAGTCTTTTCGCTTACTTCTGCTTGGGATTCCTTCTTGGACGGAGAGTTCATAATTTTTTTTTTATTTGGGGTCTTGTCTCTTTCGTCTACTTCTGCTTTACGTTTTGGAGCAGATTTTCCAGAAGTAGACGAGCCCGTGGAAGAGGTCAAGGCTTTTTTGCGTGTAATTGGAATCATTGTGAAAGATTTTTTTTTAAAAAAAGTATCAAATTTTATCATATAAGTTACGCGTTTGTTTACCAATTTTTATGACATGAAAATTCATAATCATATTTATACCTGCCCTGCAATCATCCGATGTTGCACAACTGATTTTATACACGGCGTGCAACACATAAAAATTATTTTACAATACTTGATAATACTTGATCCGTTAGTGCATTGTTATGATTTAATCCAACACCATTTTTATTATAATCTAGCGGACTGATCAAGTATTATTAAGTATTTTAAAATAATTTTTTTATGTGTTGCACACTGTATGTAAAATCAGTTACGTTTCCTCATAGGTAGACATTCGTATGATTGGCAGTTTAAATCAATTTAATTTTACATTATTTATATAGTTTAAAGTACTTTTTAAAAAAAAGTAAACTACGAAGAATAAACAAAAAAGAAGCATATAGAAAGTTTTATTAGGGTTGTGGAACTCCATTCTTTTTTGTTTTAGAGAATTTAGCATGGTGATAACCTAATTCTATCTATCGTTAAGAAGTCGCTATTATGCTAACTTCTCTAAAACAAAAAAGAATGGAGTCCCACAACCTTAATAAAACTTTCTATATACTTCTTTTTTGTTTATTCTTCGTAGTTTACTTTTTTTAAAAAGTACTTTAAATGTATAAATAATGTAAAATTAAATTGATTTAAACTGCCAATCATACGAATGTCTGCCTATGACCTGTTTGCAGTGCTGGATTTTCGTGTGCCCCTAAACAATTCAAACCTCAATATATAAAATTATTCATAATAAGCAAGAAGAAAATTAAAAGTTGCTCCAAATTCAGGTCGCTCTCAAGCGCCTCAATCAATGAGTCAAAAAGTGTATGGGAATAAATTTTTCTTAGTGGAAAATAATTAAGCATGTTTATAATTACGTAAATTAATAAAGTTTATTACGTTATAACTATTTTTTTATTAGTAAAAGACATTAATGAAGTTTTCATTTTAGGGTGCTCTCAAGCGCCTTAATCAATTGGCCAGGATAAAAAATTTAAGTAGCGGAGAATAATCAAGTGAGTTATCATTTCAGTGAAAAAAAAGATGATCTGTGCCCATCTTTTTTTTCAAAGAGCTGAGTTTTATTAGTAAAAATTTGCAATTAATGGAGTAATAAAAGAGATCGTTCAAGCACTTTACATTGTTATGTCATGTAAATATAAAATTGCATTTCTGAAATCTGTGCCAGGTTATGCCGATCACCGAATCGAAAAGCATTAAGCACAGATTTTAATTTACATTATATTTGATATTTATGTATACTCATATGAGTAAAATTTCGTGTTGAAAACATTTGTTTAGAAGTCAAACTACGGTTATCATAGTAAAATCTTGAGTTATTTACGATTTTTTTGTTTTCTCAATGAGAAAACGAAAAATCATAAATAAGTCAAGTTTTTACTATGGTAACCATAGTTTAACTTCTAAACAAATATTTTCAGCACGAAATTTTACTCATATGAGTATACATAAATATCAAATATAATGTAAATTAAAATCTGTGCTTAATGCTTTTCGATTCGGTGATCGGCACAGATTTCAGAAGTGCTATAAAATTTTTAAATAAAATTTTATATGTAGTAAAGTAATAAATTAATATGATAGTAATATTTTAATATGTCAGTAATTTATATTATATGAATATTTATTTTTTCGCTTTTGCTTTATCTAAGAACGTTCAACATAAATATATTATATTCTTTCACTTTCGCTTTATCTAAGAACGTTCAACATAAATATATTATATTCTTTCACTTTCGCTTTATCTAAGAACGTTCAACATAAATATATTATATTCTTTCACTTTTGCTTTATCTAAGAATGCTCAACATAAATAAAAACATGGATCATTGTCAACACCAACGAATTTTTGTTACTTTTTATACTGGAAGCATTTAGAGCAAGTAAGAAATGTTAGGAGATTCAAAAAAAAATAACTGATACCTGCCATCTTCTAACCTTTGCTAATATGACAACAGATATGACAATTTCATAACATTTTTTTTCTCCTAATATAAGAGCTCAGCCTCAATAAAGACCAAAGACTGGAGGATTTTGGATTGATATCTTTCTAAATTTAACTGATAACAAAGGTTATAACTCATTTTGGTAACATTTTCAAATTAAACTTGTTACATTTAATACAATTGTTGCTAAATTGGAGGCCCATCCAGCTTTTAGTTGTGAAGTACCTAATTCTATACCTGTTTGGAGGCAAATTGCAATTGTATTATGGTGGTTTGCTAATAAAACAGGTATTTGGGTATTAGAACAAACTCTTGAAATAAGTCAAGAATCAGTATGCCACTTTACAAATAGGTTCTTGGAAGCATTATTAGATATAGAACAAGAAAAAATAATGTGGCCACAAAGATTAAAATTAGCAACTATAACAAAAGGGTTTGAATATAGAATATCAGGTCTGGAAAATAACCTACCTAATATCATTAAAGCAATGGATAGATCTCATATTCCAATTCATCCTCCTTCAAAAAATAGTTCCCAATTTGTAAATCATAAAAAATTTCACTTTATTAATCTTCTTGGAGTTGTAGACTATCTAGGATGCTTTACCTATATTCATATTTGAGAAGCAGATTAATAAAAAATTATTTATTAATTTTAATATATTTATTTATTAATTTTTTTTTTTTAAAGGAAGTGTACATGATTCCTGTGTATTTTATTATTCTTTACTTTATTATGAAATTTTTATAATCCGAAACAATGGATCCTGGATAGTTCTTATATAATTGCAGATTCAGTATACCCTCTCAAAACTTATTTGATGAAGTCATTTCCTGATTATGATAAATTAACACATAGAGAATAACAATTTAATAAAACTTTATCTTCAATGCAAATGATTGTCAAACATGTATTTGGATATTTAAAAAATTGGTGGAGAATTTTAAAAGGTGTAAATTGTATTGATTTAGAATAAATAATCAAAAAGATTTATTATGTTGTATCTTATATAATATTTGTATTGATAATAATAATATATTAACAGACAATAAAGTTGATGAAGATAGTGAGATAATACTAACAAAAATAGTAAAGATAATACTAATGAAGATAGTGAAGATAATACTGATAAATATATTGATGAAAATGAAAGAGATAATTTTGTGAGTATACAATAAAGAGAATATTTAGCAAATATTCTTATAAATTTTTTAATATTTTATTAATATAGTAATTAGTATTCTTCTAATTATATATGTTTTTAAAATTGTGTTAAAAACTGTTTAAATATATCTATTTGTTTGTTATGCTGTTTTTGCTAAATTTTGCATGAATATACATATTGATCTTTTATTGTTTCGACTATAATTTCTGTTTGGTTTTTAATGAAATTTCAAATATCTTCAATATGATTTTTTCATAATCAATACAGCTACTTTTTTATTTTTTAAGATTTAACTATATTTTAAAATAAATATAAAATAATAATTATAAATAAAATATATAAATAAATAAATAAAATATATAAATAAAATATATAAATAAATAAATAAATAAATAGTTGTCTTATTATCTTCATAATCATTTGAATCATCATTTGCTTTTTCTTTACATTTGATTCTATTAATTGAATTACTTATAACCAGAGCTGTAATACTTGAATCATTTTTTAAATATTTATCTATGTTTTTAAAAAATTCTTATTCATTCTAAACTGCCTCTTCACTAGTATTTTTAATAGTATCCTTTATATTCTAGTATTTTTGATGTAAGAAATTTTATTTTTGTTAAAATAATATTTTAAATCATTTTTTTAAAATTGAACTTGAAGTCAAATCTTAAATATATAAAATAATTTTATTCTAGATATATTCCTTCTTCCTTGGGTCTGTACTCATTGCAATGCATATTGATTTTTACTAAGTTTCTCAATAAGAATCCTAGTTTAAGATAATGTCTAACAATAATTTGTTTTACTATTTGAAGCAGTATTAGAAGAATTTGCTAATAACTTATTTGTAGCTTTAAGCAAATTTTCTTGATTATGATTAGAATTATTAAAGAAAAATTCTAACAAAGATATCTAAAAAAAAAACTATTTTTAATTTTTTTTTATCTTTTTTTTTTATTATAGTAAATATTATTTGTTTTTTATACTTTATCATATTCTGTTTTGTTTAATACTATAGAGTTAAAGAGTGGTGTAGCAGAATACTGTTGTGTAGCAAAATATTGCTATGCAGCAGAATACTGTTGAGCAGCAGAATATTGTTGTAACATCATATGTAAGTTAGTAAAGTTTGTAAGAAATGCTTGGAACATTTTGAGTAATAGAAGCATTTGTAGTAATTGAAGATGTTGTAGAAATATTTGGAATAGTTAAAAAAGTAGTAAGTACAATTGGGATCATTAGTGATAATAATATTTTTTTCATTACTCTTTTTTTTTTATTATAATTTAATAAAGACATAATGGCATAAATCAATTGTAAATAAAACAAATTTGCTCAATCATTGATCACAATATATATATTAATTGATTGTAGTGATTGTGCAATATTTTAATTACTATTTAATTGCATCAAGTCAAATGCTTGAGAGCACCTTTAATCAGCAAATATTTTACTCTTTTTTTTATACCTGCCTTTAAAAATTTTAAGATCAATAGAGTATTCAAAAAATAACAAATTATTATTTTAAATTCTTACATTAAAAGCTTTTATAAAAATAAAAAAATTGAGAAGCCCAAAAAATAATATCAAATACTTACTATCTTTTAGCTTTTGCTCAAATAGCAACAAATTCAACTATAAAGTAATAGAAAGTAGTATTATAGTTTTTAAATCTTATACTCTACTTCTATAACAAAACTCAACTGGCTGCTTTATAGTACCCAGATGTGATCATCAAGCAATAATTTTTCTACTTTTCAAAGTTAGAATTTTTTTATTTTCTCTGATGGCATAATTACTGACAGAATGCGAAATAGTG